CTGCAACATTTCAAGTGGCTGCCCACCTTTTTCTCCCATAGAGATGTATTGGGAGATTTTTTTCTCCATAGACCTGGTTGGATCCAACTCATTTCAAACTCAAATCTTGTTGTTGGCTCCTCCCCCCCCCCCCCCCCCTTCATTGCCAGACTTGTGTCCTACAGCAGAACGATTTTTTTTGAGAGGTGGAAGGAATTCCAGAAGCCATGCTCTTTATCCTTTCCCTAACTTAAACACTAAGCAGTATTGTGCGGTATCAGAATTCATGAATATTTTTTTATAGGTTTCTGTCCTTCAGTCTCGAAATGATTCTTCAAGAAAGATTTGTGTTGCCAACACTCACCTGTTCTGGCACCCAAAAGGTAATTTTGTTACCAATATTTGCTAAGCAGGTTATTGTCTTGTTTTTTGGAGTCTGGGGTTGAATTTAAGTAGAAAATCAGTAAACTGCAGTATAGAAGTCTGTGTAGTGCAGTTGTTTGTCACAGGGAGGTAACAACTGAGGTGAGGTCCTTGCCTAGTGTGAGGACCTTTCCAATGTAGAAACATTCTTACTAAGCTAAAGCAACAACATCAGTGGTTTCCAAGGAAGAAATATACATTGTTCTTGTCTTGTGACTGTGTAAAGCAGAATTATTGTTAATTGGAGCTACTTAAATTTCCATAGAATAAAGTGTTTTGAAATGAAGTCACTGCTTGATTACTTGATTCCTTTGGGATGTGCATTGCAGTAGCAGAGAATAAACTCCCAGGTTAATTGAAGGAATGTTTAATGTCGTAACTTCAAGCAGGTAGCAGCACTTGCCTGACATTGGCTGAACTTGAAAAAGCTAAACACAGTCAGACCAGATTAATAATTGGGAAGGAGACCACCAGGAAATTTCAGGTAGACTAGAAAGTCAAAGAACCATCCCAGAATGGGGTCTCAAACTCAAATTGTCACAAGAATGCATGAGGACTTTTAACCTAAGGGCCACAACACTGAAGTGTTCTCATACATTAATAAAAAAAGGTCTCTAATGAGTGCAAATGAAATTTTCATATTGTTCATAAGTTTATTAAATTAAACATATTATTGCAAAACAGCTATTTTTTCATTATTTCATTTTCACCACTTAGCCTGGCAGTATTTTTCATTTACTAGAACATGAATCTTTAGTTCGGTAAGTATTGAATCACAACATATAACCCTTGTGCCTAGTCATCTGAAACAGCACAATTTATCTGCTCACAAGAGGCAACTGTGCTGGAAAGTGATCCTGGCAGTTCTCTTTATGGGAGAAAAAAAAATTGTCTTTAGTTTGGTGTGTATCATCCTCTCCTAAGAACTATATATAATTCCGCAAACTTAGCTCAATTTTAGATTACTGTTAAGCAGACTACATTTATTAAATATATTCTGATGTATGAGAGGAGGGATGCACAGCAAAGGGACACCCACACTGCTCCCTCTTCCAGTACCTTTTAAGGGCTCTGTCTGTACTTATTTGAACAGGAAATTGTGGTGAAGAAAGGGAGAGGGAACTATGGAAAACTGAAGGAGTCAGAGAGGAGGAACATTGAAGAAGGAAGTTGGAAGAAACAGAAAAATAGCAAAGAGTTGAAGAGAAGTACAGGAAAAGAGTACTGTACAGAAAGAACTGGGAGCATGGGAGCTGAGCCAAGAGGAGTAACAATAATTGTCGACCAGAATTTGCAGAACTGGCAGAATCAGCGAAGCAGTAGCAGTGGAAGCAGCTGACAAGTGCTAGCTGCTGAGGGAAAGCATAGTAAAATGTCAGCCAGACCAGCAGATGCAGTAACAGCAATGGCCCCAAGAGCATCATTAGCAGTACAACTGGCCCCAACAACCCTGAAGCACAGTGGCAGATGGTGGCAAAGCAGAAAAGTCCAGTGGGCGGGTGCTGGTAAGCTGTCCCTAGTGACAGTTACACCACCCAACCATGGGGGGAGAGGCCAAGTGCCTTCCAGCAACTGCAGCCTTCCCAAACAGGGAAGTAGACAGCCCACATCTTCCACCCAGCATCCTGTCGATAGAGACCACACAAGTGACTGTGCAGCACTGTGGGTTGGGGAGGACTCTGGGAAGTCTAAACATTTAGAAAGCATTGAATCCAGGTTTGATTCAGCATGAAGAGGATCAGAGTTTAAGAGTGTGCATGTGTGTGTGTGTAAATAAAAGTAAAAGATTTTAGAATTTGGAACAATAAAGTGCAGGATGATGGATTGTAGAATTAGAATGAGACTGATACAACAGAATGAAAGAATAGTTCCTGGGAATGAAATATTTTTATTTATTTGGTAAATTTACATAGCTACCCATCTTACGTGTGTGACTCTGAGCTGTGTACAAAGCTAAAAACACCTAACAATACAACAAAATAATCAAAAACATTACAACAATCATTAAAAAACATTAAAAACTATCAAAACCATTAAAAAATCAAAATTCTTTATATTATAGAGAAATCTATTCAGGGTATCTTTTATAATTAAACACTTTCTAAAGGGAATTGTTTGGCCCTGTCAGGTTCTGTCACCATCTCCCAAAAGGGACCTGTGACATATCCCATGGAAAACAGCAACTTGCTTGTTTGTCACCTTAGCTGTCCAAAGAACGTGCAAGAGCCTTCTCCCACACAGTGTGGTATAGGCACAAAATGACATCAAAAGCTACAAATTTGAAACCCCTGTTCTAGCAGAAGGCAATAGCCAACCATTTCCATACTGCAGTTGGGAGTCAAGCTCAACTTGGGGCTTTGCCTTTTTAAAAAAAATCTTAGACTGGATATTAAATACTTTGAAACCTTACAGGCATTGATTAAACATAACAGATTTTTCTTTTGTCTTTAGGTGAAAATATCCGTCTAATCCAAGTTGCAATAGCGTTATCCCATCTTAAGCATGTGATCAATGACATGTATCCTGCTACACCTCTCATACTCTGTGGGGATTTTAATGCCACACCATCAACTGGAACATACACTTTGGTCAATAGCGGCAGCATCGCTGAAGATCATGAGAGTTGGGATTCAGAAGGAAAAGAGCAACGGTGTGCTATGTCTCTAACCCACCAGTTCAGACTTAAAAGTGCTTGTGGAGAACCAGCCTACACTAATTATGTTGGAGGCTTTCATGGTTGCTTAGACTATATTTTCATTGATGCAAACGCTTTGGAGGTTGAACAGGTAATTCCACTGCCAAGTCATGAAGAGGTAACCACCCATCAAGCCTTACCAAGTGTTTCACACCCATCGGATCATATAGCACTAATATGTGATATAAAGTGGAAATAATCTGATTTATTTTCTGAAATAATGTGTGCTATGTCAGTTGGAAAAATTCAGTTGGAATGCTGCTTTGATCACAGTTATTATGTCCCATTTTTAATTCTTTGTAAGTGGTCATACTTTTTATAACCAGTGTTCTTATGTACCAGTGCTACATTTTTCTTCTGTTAATGAACAGAATCAATACATTTTGAAACTCTATAATTGTCCTATTTCATTTTCAGATGACTTTTAAAATAAGGAGTAAGAATATTTTGTTTAAACTGAGATTACATAAAAATTGGAATAAATGGAATGGTATTGTTAGGTACCATACTTTGTTAATCAGTTGCTACTGACATTTTGCAGGATATCCATTTGAGTAAATATATTTTGTCTTTATAAGACTGTTTGTATTAAAGATTCAAAAAACATTCTGGCAGTTCCCAATACTGGGGGAAAAGGTCTTATCCCTGTAAACCAAAATAATTTGGGTTTAAGTAATGATAAAATGATGGTATGCTTGGATAGTGATTTTTTTCTGAATGCAGAGACTGATTTTGCTAGGGAGTAGTGATTTTGGCTGATAGTTATCCACCTTTAGGGTAGGTTAATGACTACTGCTTCCTACTTTTTGGAATCTTTTTGTAAAGAATGGTTTGATCAGGGTCTCAGCAACAAGGACTGGGTGGAAGACAACTGCCTCCCACTTCACTTCTTCCACATTTCACTTTATGCAAAGGGAAATAATTAAAAAAAATAAGAGGTAATTCGCTGCAGCAGCCCCATTTTTGAGAAGCCTCTCAACTGTATCTCTGATGGAGGCTAGAAAAGGTATTCAACCTCCAGTTAATCCTCTCCCAGACTGGTTGACAAGAGCAAGTTAAGATAAGGTACTCAACAGTTAATCTAAATGTCTCCTTTATTAACTGGAGATGTCTGAATTTCCAGATTTGATCAACATACAGGTGTCGCTGGTAATCTGGTTAAGCATGTTCTGCCCCCTGAGCCGTTGAATCATGAATCTTTATTGTTAGCCACCCAGAGTTATAAATCTGACATCGGCGGCCATATAAATCAAATAAATAAATAAATGAACTAGCTAAAATGATTAATTGCTTAATTATTTCATCTCTGTTCCAGATCATGAGGCAGTGCTAGGCTTACTTTTACCAACGTATAATGTGACTGTGGCTAATAATGGGGGATGTTCACTCCATTTCATTGCCCTAGTTTGTATAATAAAATAGACTATTATATGGCTAGCTACTTTATGGCACAATGTCACGCAATCATAGTTATGGTTACTTTTATGACTGTTGATTTGTGTGGACCATTAAACTAGATTAATTCAGTGAATATCACATTAACCATGGTTTAGTATGCCATATGAACACAGCTAGTATGTCTCCTTTTTTCTGACAACTGTTAATTTATGGTAGTTTCTGGATCATTTATTTGTATAACCAGATTGCTACAGTGTATCCATGATGATGATGAAGCTATCCATTCAGTCGTGTCTGATTCTTGGTGATTCTATGGACTGCTGCTCTCCACATTTTCCAATCTTGTACAGCTGCTTTCAATTGTTTTATGCTCTGGTTGGTGTTGACTTTGATGGTGTCTAGCCACTATGTTTTTTGGCAGCCTTGTTTTCTTTTACCGCTGACCATTAAAAGGCATAACTGCCTTTTCTAGTGAGTTTGATCACTTGACATGGCTGAAATAAGTAAGGTGGAATTTTGTGATTTTGCCTTCCAGCGATATGTCTGGTTTTATTCGCTCCAGAACCTTTACTATATCCATAATATCATCTAAAAGTTCACTTTTGCTCCATTCTGATTGGCAAACATGCCTCATAGAATTTTTATGAGAGTTAAAATTCTGATTAGTTTATATTTGACTCAAGTATATAAGCAAAATCCCACTTCTACAACACATCTTTTCAGACTTGTCTTGGTACAACTGCTGCATATTCACAATGGTTTGAGTCCAAAAATCCTTTGAAAAACCATGGGATGTAGTTGGAATGAATTATATCCCAATTCAGAAAATCTGCCTTGTTATACCACTTCTTGTGGTGAGAATCCAAGAGAATTCAGTATAGAGGATCTGTTTAGCTGTGGGTAACCTAGGGACCAGGAGTTCCAGATGTTGATAACCTCAATTCTGAGCAGCGAGAAGCTGTATTTCAGTAACTTTTAGAGGGCCATAAGCCATGATGCAAATGCAGATTTATCCCTTACTTAACAGTATCTTAAAAAAGAATTAAATCCCTTTGGTTGTTTCCTGTGAGGGCATTCAGGTAGCCTTGCCCCAGATGTACAAACTGGAAGGAATGCAGCATAAGCTATTTTTTATTATTTTCAGCTTCAAGCACCAGACTTAGTTTTTCCTTGTTTGAGTAGCCTGGGAATATTCATTGCTCCTGCTTGATTACTGTTGGAATGACAACATGAGCCAAAGAAAAAATGCTGATCTGTTCAAATCTATTAAAAACATAAGGTCTTACTGGCTTAATCTAATTTTTTGATCCAAGAATTTTCTGAGTAGATGTAGGAATGTTGTAGAAGTAAAGTATTTAACAAAGTATCACATGGCATTCTGGTAGCAGGTTATTTAAGTATGGAATGGATAGCATGACTGTTAAATGGATACACAGGTAGCTCAACATTTACAGTCAAAGTAAAAGTCAAACTGGAAGAAGGTATCAAGTGGAGTGCCAAAACATTCAGTCATGAGACCAATATTCCTTCACATTTTTATTAATGACTAGGATGAAGAGGTAGATGGAAATATGAATTCTGTGGATAATGCATACCACTATTACATACTCAACATGTTTGCAAAGTACTGATGGCAGTTCTCACAGTATGCTGATTTCTTAAATACCATACTTCGTCAAAAGTATAATGAGCCTGAGAAGATATTATGGCTTAATATGAAGCTAATGTATGTATTATGTCAAGTTAGAAGTTTGGAGAATTATTTGAATGATAAAAAGTAATTCAATAAATTAAAAATTCAGTTTTAAATGCAATATTTTTGTGGTGCCAGTTACAACAGATTAAAGGAAATGAGAAAATTCAGATTTTGAGAGGAGATATATGAGGGTTCCTGTGTTTCCGCATTAAGCTAGAATACTAGAATACGTAGCATCAAATAATTGACCACATGGAAGGGAATCACAGGATGCTTACTAGCAAACCAAAGTGTTCTGTCAAATCATTAATGAAACAGACTCTTTGGGCAGTTTGTACTTTATTACAATTCTGAACTCTAAGTACTGTCATATCTGGACATTTTAAAAGAATTTAGTTTTACAGCTTCAAAACACTTTTACAGGATATTAGCTTTGATGATTAATCAGTTATGTCGTACACAAGTTTAACTGCCCATCTTAGTTTTTTGCCAAATTGAAAACAATTCAAAGTCTATTCAGATCTGTTTGTGTTCAAGGTACAGAAAAAACTCCGTTTATTGAAAAAGAATCTGTCACACATTCATATTATCAGTTCCACAAAGTAAGATTCAAGGAGCATACACAAAGCTATACATTTGTATCATTTTAATTAGGAATAATTCTGAATAGGTTATAAAGAAATTAATCCATCAAGTCTGAAGAATTCTCAAAATCTTTTCATGAAGATATGTTCACCAATAAACAATAAAACTTTAGCAGAACTATTATACACTGGGCAAAACAGGCTGATACTGAAAGCAACATGCAAAAAGAAAAAAAAGAATCTGCTGAATATTAAAAACTCCAATGAGCTTGTTGCAAATACTAAGTATTATCAGGCTGAGTTCACACAAAGGCAAAAGTGGGTCAATTCGGGGGAGGGGGGTTAATAAAATGTTCCTCAGTGCAGAAGATTTGAATAGTGTTTTAGAGCATTTTGTTGGCAATATTAGGAAGTGTTTTTATAAGGGAGAGAAATAAATATAAATGGAATGCTAGATTAAGTCAGCAGAATGTCTTACGGAATGAAACAAGATATTGGTAACTGATAGAGAAGAGGGTTTTTTAAATATACTTAATTGAATTGGGGCTCAATAAGCATTCGATAGATTTCAAAGTCACAACTATATTCAGGCATTTAGGCTAACAACAAAAGGAAAAATCAGAAGATACACTTTTTCCAAATTAAGGAGTTTCTTTTTTTAATCCAAGCCTATTGCTACCTTGGCAACATACAGCTTGGAGAACAATAATTGGCAACAAAATAAGTAAAAATGCTGTAATATCCTGCCCAAATCAGTTCCAGATACTGTATAATAACCAAGATGCAGCTAATTTTGATGTAACAAGCCTAGACCACTTATATCAAACATGTCCTTGATGCGAAAATCATCCAGTTGCAGTTAACGCTTTGATAGCTCATTTGACAGCCAGTCAAGTCCCTCGTATAGACCAGTACCTTGTGTAGCACAGGTAGCCTGAACATACCACTGTGGAACAGAAGGAAGTGATATTTTTAGTATTCTACAATCTATTTGTGAACACATTTCAACTCTGAAATCCAGGATGTATTTCTATTCCTATGTTTCTTACCATATTAAGCAATTCTAAATCAGAACATAGGCAGGGATGTCAAAAGACATCCTGGAAGAAGGCAACGGCAATCAACTTCTCTACTGCTGTCATCTACAGCAATTACCAATTTCTAAAGATTATTTTTATACAGAATTATAACCAAAGATAGCATAACAGTTTTATTATAAGGTAATGCACAAGGTAACATATTATTTCATTTTTATGCTATTCTTCCTTCCACAGGAGGCCAGAGTGATTACAGATTAATAAAAATAGCCCTTGTTAAAATAATTATATAAAAGATCAACAATAAAATCAGTTGTAAAAGACAATACAAATTCAAATATTGCTAAGCATAAGTACAATTATCAATGATTTTATTTCTTAGCATAGAAGATACAATCTATGGCTCTCAAAATATAGAATTATAACTCCACTCAGCATTTTATTGTTGTTGTTATATTTCACTCATTAAAAAAAATATTAACTCTGCTCAGGACAGCTAATTGTGACAGACAGCTAGAACTTCATGAAGTTCAGAAACCTCTGACAGGCTGCACTTAAAGGTCTGAATCCAATGATGCCTCGTGTGAATGGGCAGACATTTATGCATTGGGAGGAACACGGGTTGACTAAAAACACTCCCGCCAATCCCTTTGCAGTATCAAGTGCCATTTAAAGACACCTGGGTGTTGCTTTCTGAGTAAAGTATGAAAACATTGCTCCACTTATGAACCCCAGTACCTATACCAAATGCAAGCATTTCTTTTCATTCAGAAGTTCCGCTGAATATAGAGAATCTCAGTACTTACAGTTCTATTACGCAGGGACTGAAGGCCTAGTTTATCTGTCATTTCACTGATTGCCATGGCATTTGGCAAGTCTTGTTTATTTGCAAAGATAAGCAGCACAGCATCTCTCAACTCATCTTCTTGAAGCTGGAAGAAAAAAACATGGTAACTTCCCTCTTTTAAGTTTGTTACAAGCAAACCTACACGGGAAGAAGACAGCTGGGCTGGCTGTATTTTTCCTTCATTTCCCCAAATGGTATTCAGAAGCTAAGATGATCAAATTATCACAGAGTCAGTTTGGTGTAGTGGTTAAGGTGCTGGCTTAGAAACCAGGAGACGGTGAGCTCTAGTCCTGCCTTAGGCATGAAATCTGTCTGGGTGACCTTGGGCCAGTCACTCTCCCTCAGCCCAGTCCACCTCATAGAGTTGTTGTTATGGGGAAAATAGGAGGAGGAAGGAGTATTAGGTATGTTCACTGCCTTGTGTTGACACACAAGCACACACACACAAAGGCGGGATAGCTAATAATAAGAACTACTACTACTACTTCTGGATAGTCAGATGAGAAACAGCATGCTATACTAAAGTGGCTCCTGGAAGTATAATTTTATTGAAAGTAAACAAAACATGCCAAAACTGATCATACTGTTCTTACCATTAGCACATAATGCTACATATGGCATGGCTAAAACTAAGGCTGGTAACCTAGTTCACCTCTGTATTACTGAAAAGAGTTATGAGAAAATGTCAATTGACCAAAGCCACGATGAACAGCAGAGGTCAAAATCTATAGCCACACTGAGTGACAACAATGGCAGATGGAAGAAGACCACTTGGAAAGAAAGAGAAGTAAATTGTGAAGAGCATGCATTGACTAATAAAATGAATGAATGAATGAAAGAATAGGTTTGTTGTACATCTGAAGTTAAGAGAAAGGACAAGAATATAATAGGTCTGAAGGTGGTCTGATCTTGTAAGGTTGATAATAAATGCAGGGAAGCGATACTGCAAGTTTAATTACAAATGAAAAGGGCCAGCATGGATGTCAAAAAGTCTGAATTTGTGCTACAAGTGCTGAATGATAGTAGTAATTTACAGGTTAGCATGCTGCACTCCAGGGAATGATGATAATCAGTGACACATTTTGGGAAAAATTGCACAACTTTCTGAATGACTATAATTCACTTCTGTTAAGTAACAAAAATGGATGAGCGGGACTAAGAAGGCACAGAAAAATCTTGTTTGAATGAATGATTGAGAATGATGAGTACTCGCTGAGCAGAATCTGTTTCAAATACACAATTTAAGCACAAATCTATTCAAGTGTACACATGGAAAAGGAAGTGACTGAAAAGCACGGCTAATTGGATTGTTTTGGATGAAAGACTTGAGAGATTTAATGGAGGCACAATAGTGACGAAAGGTTCTGAATGTGGGACAGGATGAGAAAGCACATATTCTGTAGAAAAACTAGCAAAGAAAGAAGATGCAGAAAGTATTAGAAACTGTGTGTAAAGAATTATATTACAAAGTGCCACAGAAATGTGTGGAGTTCTGCTCACAGAAAAAATGAAAAAGGGTGCTTAGCGGAATCAAGTAAAGAGAATGTGGATGAGAAAAAATGCATATAAGAGAATTATCGCCACAAGAAATGTGAATAAGAGAAAGATATTGTATAATATTGCAGAGAGAAAAAGGCAGCTGCAAAGAGAACAAATAAAAAATTAGAAGAGGCAGAACAATGTTGAGAAATCTGATGGAAATAAAACGTTTGGAAGTGGGTGAACTGAACAAGGAGCCCTTAGCAGAATGAACAAGATTAAAAATAAAACTGATGAAATATTTTGGGGGAAAATGAAATGAGGGAATGTCAGGAGCATTTTAGAGATCTGGAATGGGAAGAACGATACACTGAAGATAGGAATAGAAATGAAGGTTATAAATATTGTCTGAGAAAAATTGATGAAAAGAAAGTAAAAAATCTAACAAGAAGCTTGAAAAATGGTAAGGTTGCAGATGTAATCAGTGTAACTGGAGAAATGTTAAAATATGGATGCGGAATGGTCACACAAATGGTTTACCATATGTATAAAGACTGCATCTGTGTCTCACATTTGGGAGAATCTATTATTGTTTCTCTTTGCAAAATGAAAGGGAGCGGGTGTAAATGCAAAAACTACGGGGGATTAGCTGGTTAAGTGTCCCTGGCAAGGTGCTTGGCAGAATTCTGACTGAAATGGTACCAAGGGTGACAGTGAGCCAAATGCAGTCCAGTGTTATGCTGGGCATGAGGTATGCAGACCAGTTTTCTGCATTAAGAAATGCATTCACTGAGAAATGAAAGTTTATTGTACATTTATAGAGAAAGCATGTTATGTGAATGTAGAATTGGAGGTCAGTTGCTGAATGTGATAAGAGCTGTATATAACAGAGGAAAAGCGTGAGTAAGAAATGGAATGCTTCTCAAATGGCTTAACCTGAAACTGGAAGCAAGGCAAGTTCCCTTGGCTGTTTAAGGTATTTATGGGTAAATTTCTAAAGAATGCCGATAGAGATGTTAGAGGCATGGCATGTAGGAATATGAATGTGCGCATACTTTTGTATCCGGACGCCATGTTGCTGGCTGAGAATCCAAATGAGTTGCAGAGAATATTAGACAAATGATACGCTATAACAAGGAGAATGGATCTGAAAAGCAATATTGCTATTTTTAATGTTGTATGCCTCCCAGAATCTTTAAGCAGCTTTAAGTCTGATAAATAAATGAAGTATCAAAGAAGAAGACAGGTTTTTTTGATAAGGAAAATGATATGAATAAATCTAAGTTATACATAAATAATGACAAGCTGGAGCAACTAAATGAGTTTGGTATCTTCGTAGAATGTTTACTAAAAATGGAAAAATGGATGGAGAAATTTCAAGATATACATATGCTGGTAGAAAAGTAATGCGGCAATAGGTACTCTACTGAACAAAATGTATCCTTAAAGAAACTGCTTTGTATAAAAGCATGTTTATGTCCACTTTGTATGTCAGGAGAAGCATAAAAGTACATTGAATGCTGTGGGAATGGATTACTTAAGAAATGTGTGTGGTAAAACAGAAGAAAAAGAGTCAAGAATGAATGGGTGCTGAATGACTGTGGACTGAATATAAAAACGAGTGGCTAATATGAAAAAAAACAGTAGTTTGGTCATCATTGTGAATGATCTGGACTGAATTGCAAAATAAACACATCATGGAAGAGAAAGAACAGAATAAGAGGAACAGGAATACTGAGAAACTGCATCATGGCTGGATGCAGCTGACAAAAGGGAGGCAAGATGCTTGAAGGCCAAAAGGCAAAGCAGTGTCTGGATATAGTGGAAGCACATATGATTTGCAAGGGCAGAAAGGTATGAAGAGGCATAGCAAGCAGCCGGTATTACCTAGGTTTAGCAATAATCCCCTTTTATTTTCTTATCTCATGTCTTTATTCCTTCTGTTTACAATTTCTTACTTCTCTTCTATGCTTTGCATATCACTTACTCTCAAAGTGAACCGCATATATGTAACTTTAAAGAGTTGCAGGCAGATGTTATGCTTGTATTCCCATGTGCTTTGAAACACATCTTCCTAATTATTTCCACAGCCCTAAAACATATAACAATGTCTCTGGACATCCAACATCCTATTTGTTTTTTTGTTATTTTATATTCTGGCTTTATTACTTCTAAAAGCCTCAGTTGTCACATTGACACAAAAAATGTTCAGATTCTGATTAAAAGTTACCATTTTCTGCAGTTCTTCTGCTGCTTCTTGAATTCTCTCTCTGTCATTGCTATCTACCACAAAAATGAGACCCTGGAAAAAAAGTATTTGATAAATGTGGTGAGACAACAATAAATAAGAAGACTCAAGTCAATTCTGTCATGATTTCATATATCATTACCTCCAAAACAAAGGTTCAAATGTGAAACCATGCCAAGTATCAAGCTTCACTCCTGACATGCAATCTGTTCTCAGGTGCCAGTACCTCAAAAGAGTCAGGAAAGCCAGTAATGTATATTCAAACTTTAGCAATTTATGACAGCCTTCACTGGAAAACCATCTCTTCAGCCACAAACGAATTACTAGTATTTGCAAGATGATGCTTCTTATGAGATAGTTAGGCTAAAATCTCTATCAAACCTCACAAAGCAGTCCCGCCAAGTGATACCATAAAGCTGATGAAGAAGAAAGCTTCTTCCTCAGTTTAAGCTTTCCAGCAGTTACACTTTTTGATTGTTTAGTTTCCATTCCTGCACTGAGCAGAGGGCTGGAATGAATGGCCCCGGCCATGCTTGTCAGGCTTCACCTATGCTTTCAGCCATTTGTGCTCCTGATATAGTTTTGCCCATCAGTGACTCAAGTTCTTCATTAAGCTGAATAGCAAAACAATTCTACTGTTTGGGGATAGTGGCATGGAGGACTGTAGCTAATAGTCTGCCCACTGATGGAAAAATATCCAGCAATGGAAACAATGCCCAATGCCTGAGCACACCCCATCTGTTTCAGAGGTCTGGAAGAGGAGCATAACTCATGGGAACAACTGTGTAAGTGACATGAGACAACAACTATATGCAGTTTCTACCCCCAACCAAGTACCTACACAAGCACATTGTTGCAGTTAATTCTTCAGCCTTGCAGAATCATAAGCCCTAGGGAACTACATCTTAACTAATTACTGTTTGGAGTGAGGACAACACAGATAAATTCCTTAAACACAGACCACACTGGCTTCTGGAGAAACATAACTTTGTCCAGTGGGTAAGATTAACATTGAAGAGACTTTTGGTACTGTTTTTTAGCTACAGCACCCCATCCCCAGCAATAAACAAGTACAGGTAGATAAAATAATAAAAACAAAACATAAAACTAAAAATTTAATTAATTGCAATTCATTAACAAATATATACAGTACCATGAAAGAAAACAAAATTAAGGATAATATTTAAATCCTAAATAATTGAGAGTCATTGAGTTAATTCAATGAGAGTTAAAAAAAAGAACTTGCTAGGACTTACCTGTGTGTTCTGAAAATAATGCCTCCAGAGTGGTCTAATTTTATCTTGACCACCAACATCCCAAACAGTGAAACAAATGTTTTTATATTCTACTGTTTCCACATTAAAGCCTAAACAGAAATAAGAAAGTTATAACAATCAGAAATATCAATTACATTATGCTGCAGTATTATTCAAGCTAAGCGGTTTTAAGGACAATTTAATGCTTAAACAGCTGATTGATGTAGGGGTGGGGATGGCATTATATAAATCTGACAAAAATAAAAAATAATCACAAACAGCTAAAAGTACGGCATAATTTGTTTAGTCGTTTTGTTAAAAATTAGAGTTCTAGAACATACAAAATTTTTCAGAAGGAATTCAACGAAGGGGTTTTTTTCCCCTAAGAATATTTATCTTGGCTAGTAGAACAATTTTCAGGGTTCTTTTATCTGAATATCATTATGAATAAAGTTGATCTTGGAAGCAAACAAGTAGCAGAAAAAAATGGTGTACTGGCCATAGACACCTTCTTCTCTGGGCTCTAGAATTTCTCTTTGTTGGGATTATTCCTCAAAACAAGTAACTCCCAGTCATAAAACTTATGAGCTCAGCAATAATATACCATAAAGAGAACATAACACTCTAGAAATATCCTCCAAGCATATACTGTGACAAACTGTGATTCCCCTATAAATCTAAACTTAATGAACATTACTGCTTTCTCAATAATATTAACAAGTTAATATATTCCTATGTTCTTACCAATTGTTGGAATTGTAGTGACAATCTCTCCTAACTTGAGTTTATAGAGAATAGTGGTTTTTCCAGCTGCATCCAAGCCAACTAGGAAAAAAAAAAAACCAATTAAGCCAATTTTCACTCTTCACACTTTTTACAACAGGTTCAGCCATGTGTTTTTTTTAAAATAAGACTTTCTGTCCTGTGAATTTTCCTTGTCCATCTCTCAGGGTGGGTTGTACCATAATGGTGCTGTAACTAAACCACATAAATGAAAATACAATTTATTTTCTCTCCTCACTTTGCAATTTCTTTTCCTATTGTGAGATTTGTATCTGGTCTCCTCACCTCTGAACACTCAACTGCAAGAGCTAAGTATCATGAGCAAGATCTCTGAATTCTGGTTCACTAGATTAGGTTTTCAATATGGTTTGTGATATGAACTTTTTGTCTTTAGGTCATCTGAAATGTGCAGTTTTCAGCTTTGTATCATTTTGGTTCAAATATGTGCTAATCAAAGCTGGTAAAAATTTGATTCACTATGGGAAAAGAAAACCTCTCCACAGCTCTCCGTGCAACATCAGTCTCAGAAAGGAAATGCTAACACCTCTGAAATAGGGTCATTGGAAGAAAGAAAGAAAGAAAGAAAGAAAGAAAGAAAGAAAGAAAGAAAGAAAGAAAGA